CCTCTGATCTCCCCTTAGGGAGCCGACTGTTCCATTATCCCTCTCAAACTTGAGCAACATAAGAGACGGGATTATAACAGCCTTGGAATTATTCAGGGTTGGTCGACCCAGAATCATGTTGTAGGCCGAGAGTTCCTCTAATACTAGGAACCGGACTACCATGTGTCGTCCTTCCCCTTTTTCGCCCAGGCGAATGGGTAAATCTACTCGTCCCAGTGGGTGGACGACTCCTCCTCCAAACCCTACTAAAGGGTGGGAGGCCGGATGTATGCAATCAGTCTGATATTTCAGTTTTGACAGACATTTGCTACTGATGAGATCTGAGGAGCTCCCGGTATCTATGAGGATTCGGCCAACTCTCTGGTTGGCCACTTTACATTCAATAACGAGAGGGTCGTCATGCGGCCCCCTTACCCCTCCTAGATCTTCTTCAGTGATGACAATCTCAGGAAATGTATATTTGGATGGCCGTTCTTGGTGAACGGAATTTACATCTAACCGCCTTATATTATCTTTGTTGCCCCTAATAGTGGGGCTGCCTCCTGAGAAGCCGCCTGCAATGGTGTAGACGACTGCATCATCTGTATCGGAGCTGTCGGCCTGTTGATTCTTTTTGGCCGACTGCTTTTTTGAGGAAGTGTTCCCCGTAGATTTCTTGACATAAGTATCAAGATCACCTTGCTCAGCCAGGCGGTCTAGGTACCGCATAAGACTGATGCAGTCAGTGGTGTGATGACCAACGTCATCATGATAAGCACAGATTTTATCTTGGTTCCGGTTGTTTGCAGAACCCTTCATGGGGACCGGCTTCTCAATTGAGATCCGTCCCTTGATTTATTTTAGGATAAACTGGTTATCCTTGTTAAACGCATACTTTGGGGAGTATGGTTTGAATTCTTTTTTCTTTTTCTGGGTCGACTATTTAGAGGAATCAGCCGCCCATACCTCTTTTCTTTTCTCATCTTTGTTAGACGACTGTTTCTGTCGTCCTTCTCTTTTGTCGAACCTTTTCCCGTCCGACTGTTTTATCGTACAAAGATCAGTCGCCTGTATATAGGCTTCTGCTTCAATCAAGGCCACTTGAAGAGTCGCCACCCTTTTTCGAACCAAATCAAATTTGAAGGTAGACCCGTCTTTGAGACCTCTGAAAAAGTCGGTATAAGCTACCTCATCCGGTAACCCTTGAATCTGTATTCTCATCAGGTTAAACCGCCTGATGTAAGAACGAAGCCCCTCCTTCTCGCCCTGCTGAATTGTTCCCAAATTAAGGGTCGTTTTCTTCGCAGGGATGTTCATGGCGAAGTTGGAGGCAAATAAGTAAGCAAGCGTCCTGAAGCTATTTACACAACTAGTCGGCAGGTTGCCGAACCATTGCTGTGCAATTCCTTTGAGAGTCGCTGGGAAACACTTGCACCAAGTGGGATCATCCAACCCTTGAAGGTACATCAGGTTGGTGAATGCCATCAGAAGCTCTTCTGGGTTAGTAGTGCTGTCATAGGCGCCTACTAGTACATTTTTCACTTTGGTCGGCTGAGCGGCTTCAGTAATTTCCTTGGAGAAGGCCGACGGCTGTTCACCAAGTCTAAGCAACCGTAGTTGCCAGTCCATAGGTTGGACGTTTTTTGCTGCAGGTCCACCAAATGGAGGTGGCTGCAAAAAATACTGTTGTTGCGGCACAAATGGTAAGTTTGGTACCGCCTGAGCACTATGAAAGCCGGACTGACGGGAGGTGCCGCCTGACTGACTCTCATGGTACGACTGAGTATGCCTCATCGAGGCATTTCGCAAATTGTCTTGAAAGTTTGAAGTAGAGGCCAACTCTGACAATCGGTCACTCTTCTTCTGCTCTAGCAGTAGCCGAGCATCTGTGAATGTTTGCTTCGACCCGTCCGCCTGAATATGACGAACCGGTTTCCTATTTCCTGTAGGATAACGGAATTTTGTGAAATCAAGGGCAGGTGGCTCCCGCTTCCTAGATTTAGGATGAGGAGTCGCCTCTCGCCCTTGAACTGGCTTCCTCTTCAGTGAAGTGGAGGGTTTCTTGGCCGACTGCTCCTTGACTGGAGCAGTCGACTTCTTGTTGATCAACTCTTGAATCTCTCCCTTGAAGTCCCTCATGAAGGTCATGAGTTCGTTCCTTGTAATGGGAGCAGACCCATCAGTCGGCTGTTGCCGAACAGGCGGTGCGCCTGCTGGCTCGCTTCCTGTTTGAAGATGCTCCTGTTCCCTCCTTTCGGTATGACGGGCACGTCGGGCCCTTAGGGTCCCGTCTGAAGCTGTATGAGCTTCAACTTCAAATTCACTTTCGGTATCATGGTCCGACTGAACTTGAGGGTCGTCTAGGGGACGCCTCTCTTCAGGAGTCGGTACAGACTTGGATGCCATCTCTGAAGTACTCTCCCCACAGACGGCGCCAAATGTTTCGGGGTTTTCTGATGTCCTGCGGGAGAGTTACAATTCCGAGACTGGAACCGGACGCCTGTACCTGCAAAATAACGGAGACTCCTGTGAGCTCCGCCTCCAACGGTCAAGTTAGTAACTGATTAAGGAGTAATTAATACGGAAATTAAAGTGATTAGGTCTCTCTAGGTGAGAGTGATTAGTGTAGGTAATCTGCTTTGTTGGCGAGATCAGCCGGTTATTACTGTGTGTAATTAATGTGTTTGTTCCGTAATGTTTTTCGTAAACTTCTTCTCCTTCCCCTTAATGAGGATTAAGGGAGGTATTTATAACCTTGGGAAACGCGCCCATCCTAGGTTTAGGTAAACCTAGGGCCGATTGGGCTTCCCTCGGAAATTGGGCCTGGGTGGCCGGTTTCTCCATTAGGCATGGGGTATGCCACATGTCGTGACATAACAGGTCCAAGGTGGACGATTAAGCGCATGCCACGTGGCAAGCCCTGAAAGTTCCAACTAGGAGACACTTGGCAGGACCTGATTGGTCCACGTGGCGCATTCCGATTGGTGGGAGCAAAATCCCCTAATCACCTTGCTATTTATAGGGAAATGAACCCTTGATTTTCATTTCCCAACCAATGTGGGAGAATGAAAAATTTTGATAATTAATTTAATTCCAAATTAAATTAATAATTAAATCAATCACAATGCAACAAGTGTCAAAGGGAGAGAGAGAGTTAGGTGAGGACCATGAACCTTGGGGGAACCATTTCCTTGCTCCCAAGGCATGCTCCAAGCCTTTGGTCCCCACTCACCTCAAACCGCCACCAAGCATGCTGGCGTAGCAGCCAGCTAGCACCCTAGCTAGTGCTACCAGCTAGCACCAGCCAGCAAGCCCCGCATCACCCCAGCCAGCATATGCGTGCTGCGCTGGGTGATGCTCGTGCTGTTGCTGCTGCTGCATGCTAGTGCTAGGCGCTGCTAGCTGCTAGCGTTGGCCCGGCACTCACACTCGCACGCAAGGCCCCTGCCAACACGCACACCCATGCAAGGCTCAGCATGCGTGCTGCTAGCGAGCCACACATGCTGGATGGCTTGATGCTTGGCGATGATGCTGGGCACACACGCACACGCACACACACGCAAGTGCCCAGCACTGCGATGGTGCTATGTTGCGTGCAGCGATGGTGCGATAGGCCTTGGCACAAGCACACGCACACACGCACAAGCCTAGCCATGCGATAGTGCTGTGTTTGTGCTGCGATGGTGCGATGGGCTGGGATAGTGCCTAGGCACCCATGCACGCATGCTGCGGTGCTGCTGTGCCATGCAAAGGCACGCCCACACGCACATGGTGTTGCAATGGGCAGCCTAGTGCGCCTAGCACTCATGGTTCGCCTAGCACACCATGGTGCCCCTAACACACACATGGTGCGCCTAGGCTTGCGATGAGCTAGTCTAGCCTAGCACTTCACATGGCTAGGCCAAATGTGATGCTACGGCTATGCTCGTACTTGTTGCTTGTGATTTTGCGACGCTCGGTCTCGATATCCGACGTCTGTATCCGTAAAACTCCGTCGACTCATTAAATCCTTTGGATTAATTCGTCGTCTCAGATCGGTTGTTCGATTGGGTTCGACCCGAAGGGTTCAGTTAAGATTAAGCTGTAATATTAATTATACCTTAATATTACTGATCGGAAGCGGCCTCCACCTAGGCATTTCGATCACCTGACCTTACTGAAGAATTAGCTCTGTAATAATTCTGAACCCTCTATCAGAATAATACACTTGTTGGAAGGACACTATTCCTTTCACCTGTCACAGGTGACACATGGCTAAGCCACGTCACACCTGTGAGGGGCAAATGTTTAGGGTAACAAACTACCCTAAACGCATGGCCCAATGGCCCTTTGACACATGGCAACCTCTAAGAGGTCTACAGGGCTCCAATCCCCTAATGACACGTGTCCATGGAACCCTAAATGAGAGACAGGTTCTCCACTATAAATAGTGGATCAAACCTCATTTATTGGGCATTCATAAATTCACCCATAAACACTATACATCAAAATCGAGCAATATTCATTGCGGAATTCTCCCAAACCGTGAGAAGTATTTACCATTTCCGTACAATTTACTACTCCAAACGTATACTAACTTGATCGTCGGAGGTGGAGCTCCCACCAACTGGAGTCTTCGTTGTTTTGTAGGTACAGGCGTCGGCTGCGCATACTAGGGGTTGTAACTATTCCGAGGGACTCCAAAACCCCCGAAACACTCGTTATTTGCCTTTTTCTCCTTATTGTCCGTTCTAGGTTGTTATTTATAGGAAGATGATATGGATTTATAAGGGTTTTAGGTTTTTCATTAATTTTTTGATCCGAACAATTTTAACATGAAATCAGAATGTGAAGGTTATTAATGATATTTCATGAATTTTAACAATTAGAATGTGAATTTTAACTTTGACATAAATGCAAAGACATTGAAAAACACTGCTGGTGTCAAGCTTGGAGAAGTGGAGATGGACCTATGCTCAAGTATGCTTGAATCGACAAACATTATTTTGACTGTGAAAGTTATGTTAATTATCAGGATCTGTGTTTTACAGATATTGACAATAATTGTAGATTCCATATGACTTATTATTAATGATATTTCTTTTTCTCGTCACAAAATGGATATTTCATAATAAAATTTCTGTACAAATTACTCGAGATTGTAATAAACCAATTGTGAATCTTAGAAATCTCACCATCAAAACAAATAAAATAAAAGGCGGTTATAGGCTTATAGAAAAGAGTTCATCGTGCACATTTAATTGCTACAGAATCGACAACAAGTTTAATCCGCTTTACTACCCTAAACCTGAGCCAAAAAAAAAAAAAAAAATTGTTACATGCGCTGTAAATCATCCCTCTTTTTTTTTATGTTTTTCTATTGTTGTTGATGGCAGTATCCTAGAGATATAAACAAGTACTGTTTGAGTGGTGCGTATGAAAGTTTGTTAAAGCCAAAACAAAGGAGAATGTGAGTGTGGAACTTAGCTGGCAAACCTCTAAGTGTCTCTAATTCCTTCTTTCTCAACAATACCAACAATGTCTTCACTCCTTCACTTCACTTCACTTCTTTCCTTCTTCAGCTAGCCTAACTAAATATTACTCATTATTACTACCATTATTATTATTATTTCAACATTATTCTCTGCCGTAATTTATTTTCCTGATAATTATTATCCCCTTTTCACACTGCTAAAATTCCGGCAACTCTAGAGTTTCTTTCCATTTTTGTTCATCTTATTGATTAGGGTTTAACACTGCTTGTTTTTTTGGGTTCAGTATTAAAAGCCTCAATGAAATGAAAATTGTGGTGGGTCTGTGCTTTGCTTGGAAGATTCTGAAACTACCTGCATTATACGGTGTCCTTTTCCCCCAATTTAATTAAAACTATTTAATTTAATTCAATTCTATTCTATTCTCACCAGTCAATTTCAATCTTCGCCATTGAAATCCTGCTTCAAAAATGGTTCGGCATTCCGGCTTCTCTTCAACCTAAGGTACATTCCCTTTATTGTTACTTGTTTTTCGGAAAAAAGTTAATGATGTAGACGGGATTTGATTCCGGGTTTTGGTACTCAATGCAATCCCAAAACCCGGAATCAAAATGCATTGTTTTGTATGGTTTTATGCATAGAGTAATAGAAAGATTCCTGAACTATGTGCTCTTTTTGAAGCGTTCTAAAGGTAAAGGGGAAAAAGTAAACTAATGAAGAAGAAAGAGTACTGGGTTTTTTGTTCATTTTTTTTTTTTGCAACTTTAATAATTAGGAATTTTGCCTTTTTTTTTTCTTTTTACAAAATGGCCGTTTAATTGATTCCTAATTCCTGTAACCCTTTTTTAATTTTTATTTTATTGTTGTTTTGCTTGAAGAGTTCAACTCATTGATTGAGGATCTGAGGGGTTTCAATTTTTAATATTACAGGTGTTTGACATGGTTGGTACCTATCATTTGCAGATCTTGATAAGAAATCATTTGTACTTCTGACAAGTTGTTAGAGTCTCTTTGCATCAATGGGGCTTCTTTTTCGAAGTCTCGTGGTGCTTCTGATGTTATTATCGTCGTCTTGGCTACCAATTGTTGTTGCACAATCGCCTGCGAGCTCGGCTCGTGAATTGGATGCTGTGCTCCAGGATTATGCTTACAGGGCATTTGTTCATCCGAGGACTGGTGTTGTATATGATGGGACAGTGCCTTCGAATTTGACAGGGATTAAGGTCGCGGGTATAAGGCTAAGGAGTGGTAGTTTGAGAAGCCGGGGTGTAAAATACAAAGAGTTTGATATTCCAATTGGTGTTGTGGTGCAGCCATATGTAGAGAGGCTTGTACTTGTTTATCAGAACTTGGGAAATTGGTCTAATGAGTATTATCCATTGTCGGGGTATACTTATTTAGCTCCAATGCTTGGATTGCTTGCATATGATGCTGTGAACTTATCAGCGACGAATTTGCCCCAATTGGATATTAGGTCATCAACAAGTCCGATAAAAATTCAATTTTCGGATGTTAAATCTGTGCCAGATGGGTCTGTGGCGAAATGTGTGTGGTTTGATCTTCGTGGTAATGTCAATTTCAGCCGAGTGGTGGCAAAGAGTACCTGTTCTACTGTTCAACAGGGGCATTTTGCTTTGGTTGTTGAGAGCACAGCTCCTTCCCCTGCACCTTCAGCGCCTGCCCCATCTCCGGTTTCTCATAAGCATAAGATGAAGAAAAACATGAAGAAAGTCTGGATATTCGTTGGATCCATACTGGGTGGAATATTATTGTTGGTGCTTCTGGCAATGTTGTTAGCATGGTTGAAAAAATATCAGCAGAAGAAAAAAATGCAGCATATGGAGAAGGCTTCGGAGGGTGGTGAAGCTCTGAGGATGACGTCAGTAGGGAGTGCTAAAGCACCGGCAGCAATGGTTACTAGGACACAACCGACTCTTGAGACGGAATATGCGCCCTAAACTCTTCCTTTTGCAAATTGTACAAGCTCTCCTCTCCTGCCATTCACATTCATATGTCCAATTCTTGCATTCACATTCTTCTGATTCCACACCTGTTTTTGGTTGGGTGTTTCCTCCTTGCCTTTGAATTCTATAGTTGCTTGTTGGACAGGTCTTTCAGTTCTGGTGTGGGCATTATAGAAATTACCGGTGTAGATAGCATTTTGTTTAGATTGCTAGACTCATAGTCTCTTCATTCGTTGTGGTGTGCATTATGTGACTGATTTCGGTGTTTTGACCGACAAGGAATAAGATTCTTTCGTATATTCATCTCAACATTTGATATTTACTTGTGCTGTTTTCCCTAATGATTTGTCCCATTGAATCAAACATCCAGATAGGTGATGATCTTTATTTTCATATGTGTTGCTGGCTTGCTGCATGGAGCAGCAACTCTCATGATTATCATCATATTTTGTATTTCTTTTTTTGGGAAGGAATCCTCATTAGTCTTAGTTATCGCGTATCAGTAATTTGAGCAAAGATCCCATCTTTACGCTTTACCCCCTTTTTTTTTTCAAGTTCTTTCAGTCGGGAAGGGGGAAAGAAGAGGAAGAGGGGGGGGGGGATTTAGAGGATCTTTGTGGACGATCATGAGATCATTTCTTGGTTCATGTTTTTCCATAGAAAAACTTATGTCATTGAACATTTGATGCAACACAGATTCTAGAATTAGTTTCAAAGTGCCACCCACACTCTTGTCAATGTCAGAAGGCTGAGGACAAACTTTCGAGAGGTATGATTAGAGCAGGATTTTTTTTTTTTTTTTTTTTTTTTTTTTCATTTTAGTTATGTTATTTCTGCCTTAAATTTGGACCACCATCTTTATCTTCTGGAGTTGGCAGTTGAGTCAAATTCACTAGTTAAGACAATTTGCTTGTAGCATTTATGTTTTGTAGGTGCAGAACATGTGCTACCATTGCTGGTCTCTTCTTCTGGGTAGATATTTAAGGTAGAGGGGTGCGGCTCAATCGAATAGTATAGAAACCTGTAATATGGGTTGGTTTGTTCTCAGAAGCAATTTTGTCTTTTCATTTAGTGCATTCATCGTTTAAGGTCGACTTTAATGTCGTCGTTGTATTGTCTAGAATTTGTTTTTTCTATCATTTTTACTACTTGTAATTCTGCAGCCTAGTCTTGAATATCAGTTGACTGGATAATTTGAAGTCAATGTTTTTGGCCAGGGTTTTTGATGCTGAAGTTGCAGGATGAGTTTCTTTCAAGTAAGTTCTACAAATATCTAGTTGTATCAAATTGTTTAGGTTTCACATCATAATTTGTATTTTTCCCTTCCTCTTTACAATGTAAGTAGTCTTAAACTTTGCGCTTTTAATTAGTTAGTAATAAAATGCTACTTATATTGTACTCATGATGACCATACATTTGGTGATAGCTTGAATTTTGGCTTTCATACTTGATGCTTGTTTAGATATCTTGTACTTTCAACAAATGCTTAATGTTCATAAAATTTACACTTTATAAATTAGTTACTTTTAGATGTTATGGTTTAGTGTTCTAAAGGGTACACAAAACATCCTAATATTGCATTAGATTTACGTCTTTCCATACACTCAGGTGTATAGATGACATGATGTGGTAGGTTTTTGCCTTGGATATATGGAGTCTTGTTTTTCATAAGCCCATCGACATAGCTAAATGCATATGTTTTTATAGCTCATTAGCGATACCTCATAGCCGACCTTATCTTTGGGATTAAGGTTTCGATTGTTGTTGCAATATCCAACTTAAATTTTTATGTGTCGAAGTCTGTTACTCTGGTGGATGCAATAGGTTAATTGGTTAAGTGCTTTTGCCGAGGAATGGAATTTTAATGATTTTACAGTGTAACGACAAATTTTCAGCAATCAAGTTCATTTCTTTTACTCTCAGATTTTGGGATTGGGATCATGTAATTCACATTTCTGTAAGATTCTTTTATCTTATTTGGTGTATTTTACTCTTAGGCAGTGAGCACTATGTTGTCACGTGTTTGTGAAACCTCTCCCCCACTTTTGACCTTTCTTTCAAAATTTCTTTGATCGTAATGACCTGAGCAGTGGACAACTGGACGTCTTTGGCACATTTACTACTAGCAAGTCCTATTGCTTGTTTTCATCTTAGATTATCCGAAGAATTCTCTGCTATAATAATTTGAGTTATGAATGACTCTAATGACACACGTTGGTATTAAACTATACTTTAGATGGTATTATTATAATACTAAAATACCGATTTAGTAGTACTTGAATGCAAAAATGTTTTATTGGTATCTATATCATTCCTTTGTTCGTATTTAGATGATACCATCTAAACAATATTTTAATACCATTGCCGTGTTATTAGAGTCATTCATGACTCAAATTATTAGAGGCAGAGAATTCCTCTTTATTTAGGTAGGGGAAAAAAAAAATTATTAGGAGGGGGTGGCTTGTTCTTTATGGGCTGCCTCCTCTGATCTTCTACTCGTTCGAATATGTTTGAGTACACAGGCGTTTGAGCATTTTTATAGCAAGCGGACGATGCCATTCGTCTATCAAGGGGATTTCTCCTTTGGGCTGAATGCCTTGTTTGGTCCGCCTGATTTCTTTTAGAGGGAACATCTGTCCTCCGAATTTTTCGGAGTGGCGGTTCGAATTCTGCTGATGTGGCCGTCTATATTGATGTGCCGTTAGAGTGTTCGTATTTCTTCCCATCTTGGATGACGAAGCGGTTTTTTAACCGTTTAAACTTTTTCGGAAAGTTACCATTCAAATTCTTGGGCGGGAAAATTGGTTTTACCATTTTGCCCCCATAAATTCGGCCTATAAATAGAAGAGGTTTGACTTCATTTTGGCACTTTGGAACTTTGAGAATTCTAGAGAGAAGTCAGAGCTTTTTAGAGAGAGAAAGTAATTTTCTTTTAAATCTTCAAGAGCTAAGCCGTACATTTGAGGTTTCCGGTCAGAAATTTAAGTTTTCCGGTCAACCTTCAAGACTTTCAGAGATTTTCATCGTTTTCTACACGTACGGAGGTAACCGCCTGCTCTTCTTTACTTCTTCCCTTTTTCTTTTACTTGTTTTTGCTCTTATAACCCGAACTGGCTCAACATTCGGCTTTGTTCGTTTCACCTCATGAGGCCGGCTGTTCGTCTAGGACTGAAGAGTCTATAGTGGACGGGGACGAGTCCTCCTCTCTATGGAGTGGGTCCATTTCTAGTGCGTACCAACTTACCCCTCCTATTCTTCTCTGTCCCTGCAGTTGAACATGGCTCGTACGAGGCAAACGTATGAATGAGACGTCCCCAGAAACCGTGATGGGAGTATGGTGGACCCCTTAGTCCCCTATAATCCTAGTGATATGGACGGGGAAACCACAAATACAACTGCTGTTAGCGGTAGTGAATGTTCTGCAGTCGAAGTGACCGCCTCTTTTGAAGAGCGCCAAAGGGGACAAGGCACCTCTTCTACACGGAAGCGTCCGGGCGGAATCCGGAACGACGCTTCCCTCAATTTGTCAGCTCGATCATGATGCCATCCGAGTTGCCATCTTCTGAAAGGCATCCCTCATCTTCTCAGGTGGACGTTGGGGCGTCCGTCCGAATTTCTGAACAACCCCCAACCCAAACTACCAGGCCAGGCGCGAATTGTGAACAACCCCCAACCCAAACTACAGGTCGGCCGGGCCTAAAACTGGCATTGTTATTGCTGAACCGGCCGACCTGCCCCCTCGCAGCACTCCTCCTTTTGGAAACCAGGCGGACGCTGGGGGAAAGAGAGATAAGGGCAAGGGGCCCTTGGTGCCTGAAGGCATCATCATCTCTGGAGGTGGCCAGGGCTCCAAGCTGTTGAGCTGGACACGGTGTTGTCCTCCGAATTTGGGGCCGCTCCTCAAACTGCTAAAGGAGAGGCCGAGAACCCGGACGCAAATCAGGCGGCCGAAGAACCAAATGCTGACAACTTCAAAGACCCGTACGCTTGTACGATTGGCGATACAGCCTTGTCCTTTTCGCACTCGAAGTTTGAGGAGTTCAAGAAGTTTTTCCTTTTGAGGGAAGGCTACAAAATCGTAGCACCCACTTGCTCTTACTCGGTGGCTGCCTGGGAGAGCAAGCGACAACGGAAGAAATGCTTCACCGTCTATCGCGCTGCGTTGGAAGCTTCGTTTCCCTCTTCATCCGTTCGTCCAGGATGTAATGCCCCGAATTTTGGGAAAATATTTTAATAATTTCTTGAATTATTTAATTTGGAGCCAAAATGAATTTTAAATTTTGGTGCCAAATATAAGCATTTAATCATTTGAATAATTAGTTATTTTTGGATTTCTAAATTAATAATATTGGTTTAATTATCTTTTAAAGGTCAGTCCATATTTTATTAGTAATTTCAAGAGTTTTAAAGATAATACCTAATATACATTATGATTTACAACAAATTTTAGTTTTAATATTATCTAAAATATTTATATATTTGTATAATAACTTGATTTAAATATCAAATTCAATTATTTTATCCATTTAAATATGATTTTCGTTTTTAATAAAAAAAAAAATTAATAAAAAAAATCAGTACTTTTTTTTTTTTTTTTAATCAGCTGCTGGCCGAAAGCTTAATAAAAAAAAATAAAATAAAATAAATTATGATTATTTTGTGATTTCTATCTTATTCTTTACTTAACCATTAAACCCTCTCCATCATCTTATTTTATCCCTATCTTCCTTCTTCTAATCCTCCAATCAAATGAACTTCTATCCAATTTTTCTACTCATCTTTTACACCCAACTATTAATCTAGACTTAATTTGGTTCAAGTACTTTAATAACCCCAAAACTTATCATGTTTTCTAGTAATCATATCATACATTAATCTTTATCCCTTCCACACTCTAAACACTATAAATAGACCCTTAATCCTCCTCAATTACTCACACCAAAACCAGAAATTCTCTTCTCTTATTCTCTTAAAACCCACGGTTAATTACATTCCCCTCTTACTTGCCTTGCTTCCTCTTCCTTTCACGTAGCAAGCAACCGAGCCAAACACCGCCTAACAAACCACGCACCCCTTGTTGCCCCTAACGCCAGCAGCCCACCACTACTCTTTCTGTCCACACTCCTTGCCACCTACTGCTGCTGCCAGGAGGTGTAGTACCCCTCTTCCTCGTTCCTCCTTGCTGCAGCTTGCATGCATTGTTTTTTTTTTTAAAAAAAAAAAGAAGAATCTTCTTGTTTTGTAACACCATACTACGTACTATACATATATTATATGATCCTAATACTAACTCTAATATTATG